CTCTTTCCTGGGTGCTAGAAATATCTAGTTTTGTTTAAACTATCATGCCCTCACGTACAGTTTTTTAAATCCAATCATTGCTATAACTTTGCTCCTTACATCACCCAGGGTGAGAGGCATAGGTAAGTTGTCCCTGTTGGTGTCACTTTTCTGATGGCAATGTAAGCGTTGTGTTAATTCATTTTAACTTTCGTGCTTTACCTTAAGAATGTCCTATTATGAGTTAGTTTATGTTCTGGGAAAAATGATGGAAGTCAAGTCAGAGCAGGACCTCTGTGCCTTGAATATCTTCACAGACAGTTTGCACTAGGTCAGGGGAAGGAAGAGTTGAAATTGGTTTGGTGTGTAGATCAGGCTCCTGTCTCTTGGTGCCTTTGTTTACATGGCAACTTAACCACCTGTGCTATTCCAAATGCTTGAAATTGTCTTGTCTCCATATAATGCTTAAAACGTAAGTCCGGATCTTGGGTTTTGGGCTTTGGGAATATTCAGTCATGTTCCAAGACCTGACACGTGAAATCTCTGAAGATGTTTTGTTCTGCTTAGTCATGAAAGTCTCTTGAGGGCAACAGGAAAGTGGGAGCTTGCATCCCCCCAAAATGTCCCAGGGTGTCTGCTGGGGAACCAGCAGCACTCTGACGTGTGTTATGTCCCCAGAGAGGTCTAAGGAGGCAAGAACGTAGCAGTTGCATGGAGATGGAGTTTGGAAAGTGAGGCTATATTTTACACAGAAATGAGCAAAGAGACCCTCCAGTGGAATGGCTGGGTGTGATTAGGAGAGCCAGCAGAGCACAGTAGTTGTGCTGGCTCTGTCCCTGCTTCACGATGGAGGCTGCTGATGGGCTGATGTTGCGTAGCGTTGCTTACATTAACTAGGTACAAAACTGTTGGGGAGACTTGTTCGCTGGCTGCAGCGACAAGCTGTGTGAAGGCAAAAGGCTCATCCTTAGAAATGGAAACTTAAAAACTGTTGTGGGGCAGCCCGGCTGGCTTGTTTATTCTGTAAAATAGGGATAATAATGGTGAGCATTGCCGCTCTGCTTGAGAGCTCTCTGGAGTGTTTCCCAGCAGTGCAAACCTTCTTGCTAGTTCCAGTCCCAGCGTTCTTCTTTTCCTAAGAGTCCTGTTTGGGCTGGCAGCGTCGGCTGGGTACCTAGGAAAAGGGAAGGGTATGTGGGGGCCAATACTTGTGCTAAAGACGTAGAGTTGTTATAAATGTAGACCTCTCCAGCTGGCGGTCAAGATGACAAAAGAGGAGACGTCAGCACCCGTGGGCGGCATGGCAGGTCTCCAGCCCTTTGCTTTGCCCAAAATCTCCCCATTAGCACGAGGCACTGAGACAGGGAGCAGCGGAGCAGGCAGCATGCGAGCTGTGCTTGTCACACAAGCCTGTCTCGGCGGGATTTATTCCATTAACGTGCGCTGCCAGAACTGCCGTGATGCCTGGGCTGGCTCAGCAGCTGTGCTCAGACATCCGCCTCGTGTGGGCAACGTGCCCCCTTCCCGAAACACAAGGCTTTGGAAAGCTGGGTCAATGGAGAGCTGGGAGGGAGGGAGGGAGATCTCTAAATCCTCAGGGCTTGGCATTTGAAAATGAGATTAAGCTATAATCAGGCTTGACAGCAGAGCTGAGAGAGAGACTTTTAACCTTAGAGCAGCTAAGATCCAGCATTTTTTGAGGAACAGAGTATAAATTCCCTTCTTGCACCTTTAATTCGGTGGGGGCTTCTCCCTTG